TAAAACTTTTTGACAGCAAATGCTATTCTGATAAAATGGAATTTTCAATTACTCTATGAACATCTGGTCCATGCTACCATTTCTGGAGCCCAGCAGCACACTGCTTTGCACTGTCACAAAATATTCTCCATTGAGAACTACCTATTTTGCCAAGAGACTAATTGAAATGAGTGTTTGGAAATTTAGTGAGGTGAGAAGTGAGTCAGGGGGATAGGTAAGATAAGGAAGGGATGTTCAGTCACCGAATCATAATTTCATTAAAAGGCTAGAGGAAATGAAATTATGCATTGTTGGTTGAGTGTTTAAAGTGTAAACATCTTAATACACCGGTGGTTGAAACTAGAATATATATAGTGTGCAGCCTACAGAACATTTTCATGGCTAATTTGTAACAGCAGTTGCATTAGGCACAGATCAACTTCTTCAAATCCATGTTTTACACAACAAACGTGTTAGATGATACTCAGGTGATGAAACTAGCGAATAAACAAGTTTAGTAAAATGCAGAAGAACCTACACTTCCAGAAATAAAGCAATCATAGCATTGCATTTGGGTGCATTTGGATGTGAGAAGCAGATAGATGTTATTACAAATTTCTGTATGTTGCTTCCATTTTGGTATAAATTAGCATGGGAGGGAAACCAATTCAGTGTTGTTGTGCATTCCAATTGGGTACATATTAGAGCAATTACAGTCATCTTTTCAGCTGATGAACTTATAATCAATAATTAAAATCATAAGGTAAAAGAGATTGAGTGTGATTTGAAACAAATTAGTTGGGCTTGGAAACAGAATGCACAATTCTAGGACATGATCCCCATAAATCCCAATTTTATAACAGGACTAGATATTTAAATAAACATGATGAGATACCCAACTCATCACAGATGATCATCACAGATGATCCCGCAGAGAAGCAAAGGGGTGACAGAGGCTTATTAACCCCAGCACTACTCAACCCAGAAATAACCCTGATAGAGATTCTAGCCCAGTGATCCCTTCAACTGTGCATCATACCCAAGAGCCTCTGGCATCTCTGACAACGCTGCTTCTCTGTCACTATTCTTATATACTGTCTGTAGAAATTGCAAAAGATGGTGAAATTTCTGTCCCTTTGTAGATGGTAGTTTTACAAAACAACTCAAATTCAGAGAGGCATGGGTTGAAAGAGTTGAGCACGACTAACAAGCTCAATAACAAATCACCCCAGGAACCATTCAGGTGGTAAAACCTGCTGACTAACACTGACTTGTTCTCAAAGTACTCTGAGAGCCATAGAGACATAGCATATTCCCAAGAGGTCTATATGCCAGTACCAAGTACAGGATATAGACTTCTCCATCAACTTCTTTTCTGGGAAGCGATGATAAGAGCAGCAGTACTGGGGACAAGCTGAGCATTATCTCAAGGGCAATGAAGATGATAAATGAATTTCTAATTCAGTCACCTGGTGACCAGGAAATTCAGTTCAGTGCTTGGTTATGTTGCACAGCTGAAGTTATCCCTGGGCTAGCATCGACTCACTGACCTGGTCTTAAGCAGGCAGAGGCTGCTAATAAGCCAGAAAACACAGATTCCTGCCATTCCATTGTCTTTTGGGGCCATCAAAAGACAATCCAAAGTCCAGTGGCTAGACTCGTTAAGGACAAAATTCTTCAAAAACCATCCTTTCTTGGTTGAATATGTGATTGTGCGTTCCTATCTCAGAGAAGTGTTAATGAAAATTTAGGGAATTAGGCCTTGACTCTGAGTGTCAGGAAGCACCTCTTACATTCACATTGAACATTCTGCTGTAGCAAAGTAGTAAGAACAAAGCCAAAAGAAACGTTTGGCAGTGGGAACAAGCACAGAGTCTAGTCTAGGTGTGTCTCAGAAAGCAAGGAACAAAGAAAGTATGTACTTTTTCTCAAGAACTGGCAACAGCCTGTTCCTGCTCAAAGGAAAAAATTAACAGATGCATAAAACTATATTCATTGTGAAAATCCTGAGATTCCTCATCAACCAAGTGTTTATATATGTGCAAAGAAAGTGCTATACTAATATCCAAACTAGAAAAATCAGAGAGCTACAGACATAAAATCCAAAGTGACTAAACTCATTAAAACAAAGGTGTAAGTACACCCTATTGGACAGGTTTGGTCCAACTTTAGAGTGGTTCTAACAGGACCAGAAGAAATGCTGTCAGACCAAAGTCAATGTCACAAGTCCACTATAATCTGCTCCTCTACAGAGTAATGCACTCAAACCTCAGCTCTGGAACACCCAGGATGTCAAGGCATGTGGATTTGAGTTCACCAGGTCAAATAACCAAAGAGAGCTAGGACTCTTTTTTTTCCTCAAGGAAACTTTGAGAATTTTAATGCAGGTCTGAATCCTAGGGAGATTCCATTTTCCCTGCTCACCTTTGTAAATTGGTAGTCTTCTGAAGCAACCATAACTTTTTGTCCTGGAAAATGTACAACTTGAACCATTCCAGTGAGAATGGATACAAGCTCTGGCATGCACAGTCAATTCATTTGACTGCCTTTCAAGCACTGTGCCTTAGGATAAAATGAGACACATTTATTATGTGAACCCAGGTTGGAGATACTGTAATACTATAAAATGGTCTCAAAATAGTTGCTGTTATTTGAGGTAGCAGTAATGAACCCAAGTGAATTTGGGTTCACACAATATGTGTGGCTAGCCTGGAGTTGATTTGGGATAGAACAATTAAGTATCATTATGGAAAGCTTCAGAAGTACTGGGATACCATAAGATACTTTTAGATACTTTGTATCTAAACTTTAATGAGTCAAAATTGAAAAGAGCACACCTAAGGGTGAGGTCCAGGTTTAGCCACTGCTTAGAATTATGACAAAAATGAGATAAATATTTGCAGATTGAAATATTGAGAAAATGGGCCCCCCTGGTGGCGCAGGCGGTTGAGCGCAGCGCTGTGAAGCTGTCCGCAGCCTCTGCAGCGCCGGTTCAATCCATGCTGGCCTCGGAGCAACCCACATGGTGAGCAGACCTCTCCTGTCTTACCCACTGCTCCCCTCAGCAGTGTATTTCAGTCAGTCTGCCTGTTCTGTTCCCCGCTCTGTCTCTGGTGAATCCTCTCACCCTCCCACACATCTGGCCTGTACCACAGCTCTTGTATAAATAAAATAAAAATAAATCTTAAAAAAAAAAAAATACTGAGAAAATGTGAAAGTGCTGTCAAACAGAGCAGTGGAAATCTGTGTGTGTGTACACGTGTGTAAGTAGTCATTGTCTTATAAGGAGGAGAGCCCTGGGATAATGCCATACATTTGCTTTAGAATGCTATCATTATTATACAATCAGATAGATAGCTGGAGAGGCACATACACATACATTCTATTTGTAATTAACAGCCCTCAGAAAAACTAGTTGCAGTCCACTGATACCATTTTCCTAGAGAAATGTGACAAAAAAATTAAAACATATGTTGTTCTAGCCAAGCATAAAGTTAGAATCAATTATGACTATTTTCTTTCCGGGAGTCATTACATTTTAGAGCGCATCTAACTAAAACCTTTTCTGATATAAATGAAAAAGCATTTCTTTAAGACACAAAACTAGTAAATGATACATATCAGTCTGTATCCTGTGACACACTACTAATCCTCTCAGAATTAAATTGTCTCTGATTCAGTTATATAAATGTTTAATTTTTTTTCATCTTTAGTCTAAATAAGGTTGTCCAGAAAGTATATTACCTCTGTGGCTATCACCATGCACCAATTAGGGAAGGCAGCAGTGCACAATGGGTAGTGATCTCTATATATTATAGTCTTTGACACTTGGTTCTGCTGGGGAGGGGATGAATTAGACAGTTTAATAGAATGTACAGTGACTAAATTTTTCTTCCTACGGAAAGCATTTTCTTTTGTAGCCTTCACATTTTTTCCCTTTGAATTCATTTATAAGAGCAAAACAAAAGCATTTAACGATGTTTACAGTGAAATGAAACAGCTAAAGACCAGCACATAATCACCATATTTTGTTTTCTCATCTTTAAGTCTTAGCAGTGGGACTTCCAGCTGAGCTTGCGTCTAGCTTCTCTCAAGACACAGCCAAGCATTCTGAAGCTTCGCTGAGCCTAAACACCAAACTGAATTAATACTTCTTAACTGAAAAAGACAGGCTGTTGGCCTATCGTGTTTGCATCAGTAAAACATTGAAAACAACATTTGTGCCCAAGTCCATCTGAACACTCTGCCTTGTATGAACTCTGGTAATATCTTCATAGATAATGTCTTTATGGCTAGCATGGTTTAAACAGTTGCTCTCACTGAAGCACATGTGGTTGAGTTCACAAGAACACTCTTCTTTTTACAGGAGGACACCACCCCTGGCATGTGCTCTGAGGTATTTCTCAGTCACAAAATGTTGTATTGAGTCGGCCATGTTTTCTTGTTCTTGTTATCTCCTGTGACCAGTGGTATACATTTGTGTGGCAGCTGGAGGGGTTTGACATAGCAACCCCATAAACCAAGGGGGAAGGTTGGTACTATCTATCCTCAGCAAAGGGTGTACAATCTGTCGTCAGATTGTGGCCTCTCTGGGTAGAGTTAACCCGCCTGATACAGAAATAAAATCCATCTCTTTGGTCTCATTAATTATGTCCTATGCAACTTGATTGATCAGTTGAATTCATGTACTAAAGCAAAAAGAGACATTTATTCCTGGTAGAAGACATCTGCTCATTTCCTATGTACTCAGAGCAGTTATTAGTGTAGAGAATGTCTGTCATATGTGTATGCAGTAAGCTTTTAAAATAGCTAAATGTTATGCAATCCTCAGGGATGCACTCAGAGAGGGTGCATCTGGTCAAGGGTGAAGCATCCCAAAACCCCACAGGTGAGATGAGCTGAGGTTTGAGCTAAGTGAACACCTTAGTGACATACTCGTTAGTCAAGTTGTGCAGTGTGCCTACAAATATTCTGGGTTCTTTGGAGTCTATGGTTGCAACTTACATCCAGCCAGCTCTTACCATGGTCAGGCATCTGGGATCCCATGGAGGTCACACTGGTGTTCAGCACATCATTGACGGCAGTATCACAATACAGGCTCCGCTGGACATCATGCTCACTGTCAGTCTGGTCACTCTCCTCATGCCCACTATCCTTCAGGCTGTTGCCCTCTAAGTCCTTGAAGGTGGAGCTGCTGGGTTGAAGAAAGAATGACTATTTACAACTGTGATTGATCTGATTTTTAAAATCTTCCAGAATCAGGATGATGTCATTGACACCAACAGTGACTGGATTTCCCAACAGCATAGAAGGAAGAGATGTTTCTGTTTAAATACAATGGAACTTAACATTGCAGAGAGACTCCCACCACTGGATGCTGATGCAGCTAATACTTTCCATCACTTACCATCGATGCATCAGGAAGCTACCAATCAAAGTGAAATAAACAATAGCTAATGTTTACTGAGAGATTACTATACACGAGGCACTGTTCTAAATGCTTGACATGATTTAACATTTTTAATCATCACAAGTCTATATGACAAAGGTACTATTGATAGTCCCATTTACCAACAGCAACAACAAAACCCAAAGGCACATGGAAGTTAAATAATTTGCTCAAGGTCACATAACTGATAAAATGTAATAGCTCACTTAGGACCAATCCCAGGCAGTTTCGCTCCAACGCCTGAACCTCTATGTATACTGTCTCTCCAAAGATGTCTATTAATTGACGGGAGAAATGAAAATGGCAGAAATAGAGGTAGTGCAATTTATGTAGAAAGGATTATATCAGGAGCAGAGAACTCAGGTTAGTTTTAACTGAAAAGGCAGAGGGATAAATTCAGAGAAGAGGAGAGGCAGGAGCTGAGAAGGGAAGTTCTGGTTCTGGGAAGGAAAGGTAAAAGTGAGAAGCAGAGAGTGAGCACTCCTGAAACTTTAGATGTAGTTATGGTAAGAACACGGAAACTTTCAGCTCAAGAGTCTGCGGGTAAATTTTTCTAGCACCTGTAAATCAATTCCATGCACTGAGCATGGCATCCAAAAACCCCACACCACTGCTCAGGAAATAGAGAATAATATATAAGGTATATCCATTGAGGCTCCACCTGTTATTTTCTAACACTTTGTATGTCCTGACAGAATCTGCAGCTGGGCTACACCGTGGGCCATAAATTATGCATCTGAAATACCTAGTGAATGGTGACTCCATTCCCTAGTCAGTGAGGAAGCAGCAAAGGCATGCTCAAGAAAATGTGGTGTTGTCTCAACATGGGAGAGTGGCATGCTTATGAATGAGGACAGATCCCAACAGACCTACTGTACCTCTGAAAAGGTAGCCCTGTGGAGATGACACTGCAAACTCACTTGATCTGCTCCACCTTGAACATCCACAGGCCTGGCTCTCTGAGGCTTTGATAAGAACATTCAGTTCATATGATGAAGAGCTATGCCTCGGACACAGTGGCTACATTGTCATTCACCACACTTGGTCAAAAGAAATCACAGCAGATTTTTAACATATGACCAACCTAGATGTAGAAAGCTTGCTGCCCTGAATATGAAAAGGAAAAGATCAAAAGGGCAGTAACTGGAAAGCCATAATTATAAGAAAATGAAGATCAGCAGAGAGTAAAGCATTGACCTGTTTGCTAATTATTTTCAGAAAGGATAACTGAGCATCAATTGTGTTAAAACTAAAATCACTCAGCAGGCCAGTTCACCCAGTTCCTACTGAATTATCATACAGCTAATCAGTCCTGTGGATCTACCAGGATGCAGTTCTATTCAAAAACAAGTCATTCTATAATTCTCTTGTGGCAAAGAAGACCAACTGGAAATACATGTTTTCAAGTATGTCACCAGTTCTAGCATTATGGTACAGAATTTGGGGTTTCCTGTAAAGAGTAATCCTACAGCTATTAACCAGATTCAAAATTCACTTTTTAGAAAAAATTTTGCCTGCCCACAAGCACCCCTACACCTCAAGGAATAGGAAATGACCTACCTGGAGGACATTATTAGCTCCTACTGTTTTATAACAAATATTAATTTTCGACCCGCATCTCTATAAATGGAGCATATGAAAACTTCCCTAATCCACAACACAAAATTCTCACTTTAAGCCAGAGATTTCAACCCTGAATGGACTGCATTTCAGCAGTTGTCAAAACTGCTTGAGACACATAAGGGTGAAAGATATAGCCGAAGGCTAATGCAGTTAACATCCCTAGGACAAGGTTTCTCAACCTTGGCAGTATTGACATCTTGGACTGTGAGATTCTTTGATGATAGGAGCTGTCTTGTACATTACAAGATGTTTGGCAGCATCCCTGACCTCTACCCACTACATGCCAATAGTGTCCCTCCCAGAAGTTCAAACCAAATGTCTCCAGACATTGTCTAATCACCCCCAGTTGAGAACACTGCTCTAGGTTTAAACTCTCTTTCTGGGATATAGATTTCCAGGCGGTAGTAGAAAGAGCACTGAACTTGGAGTCATTAGAATAAGTGCTAATCCATCATCTGCCACTTCCTCTGTAACACCCGGGGCCTGATATTTAATGTCTTTGAGCCTCAATCTCCTTGTCTATAAAATGTATTTGCTAAAAACCTCCTTCACATGAGCATTTTGAGGATTCAGTGAGACAATGCACACAAAACACCTAGTACATACAAATGCTTGACAAGTGGTTATTTAACATACTCTGTATAGTAATGTCCTCACTGAGCTACAGCTGAATATTATGCCCATAGTCCTTTATGGATAAAGAAAATGTGTATTTAAGAATGTTTCCATGTCTTCATAAATTAGGTCAAATATTGCCTCTACTATGTATATTCGTCCTAAAATTCTGGAACAGGAAAAAAAATCCTCCTGTCAAATGTGTATCCTTCCTTTATTGATAAAATGAGAAGTATATATCCTGATATACTTACCATTTTGTCTCAGATTCTCAAAAGCTTCAAGGTTAATATAATGTTTAATTGTAATGAGTTAGCCCCTTGGATGCCAGGGATCTGTATCTCACTTTTCATAATTGGTTTTGGATCTGCTTTTTAAATTACAGACATCCTCTTTATATAAAACTGAATGTTATAAACCACCTCAGAGATTTTGTTTTTCAGGGAGAAAAGAGAGAAATAATAAAATAGTGAAGGACTAGGTTCTGAGGAACTGGTGGTGTGACTGTGAAAACTTATGTATTTTCTCATGAAAAAGCAAGGGATATAAACCCCCTCCCTCAAACCTTGGAATATAGTTAAAGTGTATAAAGATCATCTTGCCCATTGGACAAACTAAGTACCACTTAGTCTGATACTATAAGGGCATTTAGTGGCTTAATGAATGGATTTGTGTAAGGCAGTTTAAGACCCAGTGAGCAAGAGGTGGCAAATTGTAAAACATCCTGGTAAATGGCTACTCACCCCAAACAAATAACAATTTGTGCCAGGCATTAAAAAAATGCTGATTTTACTTGCTTTATTACCTGTGTTACCTCTTGGAAGATGAAAGACTTGTAAACGAACTTTTTGTGAGACAATAAATTATGGGAACTTGTGTGCAATGGCATTGTAAATCCAGATGTTTCTATTATTGTTCTGCTGGACAACAAAAGGACAGGTTTGTTTGAAAACACCTGATAAAAGACACTGCACACAACAGTTACTCAGCAAATAGTTGTCAATGAACATTACTCAAATTCTGACCTATATTTACCCTTTAAAATATCAGAAGTCTTTTCCAAAAAATTATCTGAAAGGAAGTTGATACCTTCCAGTAGGTGACAACACATGTGGATAGAATGCTGTCTGAAAGCAAGAATGAGAAGGGAGTGACAGTCAAAAGAGTACTGTTAACAATATTAAGGAACATCAGGATGATCGCAGAGAGGTGCCTGGACTACCTCTATCAAGATCACTTTGGAAATCTATGAAAACTTGGTAATTCGCTAGGGATAGAGCCAGAGACTAGTTAACAAGCCACCCAAGTGGTTCTAAAGGTTAGCAATTGTTAGCTTAATGAGAAATTTAGTGCTATTTTTCAATGGAAAGATGCTGATATTTTCTTTAATGGTTCACCTATTCATTGAATAATCCATACCAGCACTTGTTACATACAAAGCACAGAACCAGGTGTCACAAACCCCCAGGACAATATCGGTGGGAAAGGAAACCACTGTGAATGGTTTATAAGCCAATACTCATTTTCCTTTCTACACTGCTTCCATGCCTCGATATTTTCATTTCCTGTTTTATTTTCTTCAAGCCTCGTGCCCTGCTTCATATTGCTCCAAAAGCACAGTGGGAGTGGATATCAGATAGCAGCACAGAAGCCAGGCATGAGGAATGAGCATTGCAAAGGGGCAAAGAACCCTGGCTGGCTTTCCTTGGTCTGAGAAGATAGCAAGGACACGAACCTAGCAGGAAGAAAGTCCATGAAGAAAAATGTCCAAATTATGGGGCCTCCCTGGTGGTGCAAGGGGTTAAGACACAACCTATGAAGCTGCCCACAGCCTCTGCAACATGAGTTCGATCCCCTGCCAGGGAGCAACCCACATGGCGCAGCAGACCTTTCCTGACTCACCCGCTGCTCCCCTCAGCAGTGTATTTCAGTCAGTCTGCCTGTTCTGTTCCCCACTCTGTCTCTGGTGGGTCCTCTCATCCCTCACATCTCTGGCCTGTACCCCAGCTCTTGTATGCATAAATAAATAAATCTTTAAAAAAAAAATTCCAAACTAACTTGTGCAGGTAATCTGGGACTCTGACATAAACTTTGGCTACACCTACATATTACAGGTGTCCTGGGGGAAAAAAAGAGAAAAACTACAGAAATTTAATGCTAGATTCCTCAGTGAAGAGCATAATGGAGAATGTGCCATATATTATACTATCATCCTTTTCCCTGAGGGGGCACCCATTTTTTTCAAAGCTGAATTGTGCAAGGAGAACTCCAGGCTCACCACCCCGTGTCCTCTGGTGTTCCATTTGGTTTATCTGTGGTAAGTAGAAGTGGGAGAGAAAAAGAAGCCTGCATGTAAACAGTCTGACCAAGAAAATTAACAACTACCGAAGAATGACAAAAAGAGGGGTAAAAGAAGCCTTGGATAAAAAGAAAGTGAATAGAGAAAATTCTCAAAGTTGGCTTGAAACTGAATTGGCATTCAAAGAAATGGGGATTTGATAGTAAAA